TATAATATAATATAATATAATATAATATAATACAATAATATTTGTATCGTGAAACTAATTAGTACTATTCAGAAACTCTATCTGTGAACACAATGTTCTCCCTGGTCTATGGGAGCCTTCTACAGGCCTTTGCCTTCCTTTTTCTCTCCTTCATGATCAAGGTCCTCGGCTGCTACAAACATTTCAAATAATATCTGTAAGTTGAATCATATACATTCAGAAAAGCAGCTACATTTTAAAATTTAAATTAGTGATATAATTAATTGTTTTTCTTAACTTTCAAACAGCTAACTCAGAAGTGCTAAATACGTAATACAAAAATCAGACTTGCACATGATAGTGACAGACATCTTTTTCTCTTTGGGATATTGTAAACATTTTTTTTCCTTTTCTTTTTGATGATGGTGATAAGAGGGATTAACTTTTCCAATTCAGGTCCAACAATGAAAAATGAATAGTGGTAGAAATAGCTTTATATGTTAATAGCAATTATAGTTACATAAGACAGAAAAGTTAAAATGGGGTTTTCTTTCCTCCGGAGAAACAGTATTTGATGCTTCAGCATAAGGCTTATTCTTATCTGTAATGTTTATTGAATATTAAGAAAAATTAGAAAATTAAATAAAAGCAAATATGCATAATTCATAACTTAATTTTCATGTTTATGAATTCTGTTGTTGTTTGGTGCCTTTGAGACAGCTCCGAACTATGCTGTTATTCAGTGTTGTTGAACTTATTATGACCCATAGCAACCTTGTAATCAACAGATCTAAGCCTTGCTCTCTCCCGTGTCATCCTCCTCCAGGCTAGAGCCCACTGTATCAACCTATCTCAGTGAAGATCCTGCTCTTTTGCTAACTTTCCCAGCATGATGGTTTTTTTCCCCAAGGACTACCTCCTTCAGGCAACAGGCACAGAGTATGTGAGATGAAGTTTCACCATCCTTGCCTCTAGGGAGCACCCTGTGACTCACTGTGACCCTGTAAACGGCCGAATGAACTCTTGGTCCTATGTCATCTGCACAATTACTGTTGCAACAGAGCTCATTGCTACAGTCACCTTGTCAATCTATCTTACTGATAATCTTTTTCCTCTCCCTCTGATCTGCTGCTTTTCCACATATGCTGTCTCCTTCCAAATACTGGCCCCTCCTGATAATCTGTGCAATGTATGTGAGATGAACTCTTGCTATCCTTGCTTCTCAAGAGCACTCTGGATGCATTTCTTCCAAGACAGATTTGATTGTTCTTTTAGCAGTCCATGATATAGTCAATACTCTTCATTAACATAATTACTTACAGGTATTCATTTTTCTTCAGTATTAAGATTTTGTTGTTGTTGTT